CCTGATAACTCTGTCACCCCTTGGATTCATATCTCCAGGTTGAAACCAAATACCCAGGACCCACCTTCTCTGGACACCCAAGACCCATCAGTCACAATCCAGAGTCCTTCGGATACAGCCCAAGATGCTGTCTACTCTACCACGCCTCATCCCTCTGATCCCTTGAACTCCGCATCTCCTGTTCACCCCCTTTGCCATCCATACCCAAATCATGACTTTTTCCTCCTTTACGCTCTCTCGCTTTTTTCCCCTCATTCCTATTGTCTTCCCCGCCACCCCAGTCTCCTTTGTATGGCAATTCAAAGTCAGACAGACTTACACACAGCATCAAACAAAAGTTACTGCCCTCATTGCCACATCAGACTGCCCTCTGAAAGGTTGCTCTGAGCCTTTATACCTCCACTTTCCTCCCTCCACCGAAGTGTTCACTAACAGCTAGCTTTATTCTCCCTACCTCTGCTTCCTCTATGAACAAAGACAAGCCTATTGCAGGTGATGGCAAGACACCTACGGGGGATGTCCCTACTGGTCTTGCGCCATTCACTACATGGGTAACTTCCAGTACCCACAGTATTACTCCTCCAACCATTTCATGAAATATCCCAATGGCTCATTCTCTTTATCAATCCCAGATTCCTGGGACTCTCGATGGGCTGCCGGAGTCACAGCCTCAGTTTACTACGGAGGGTCCTCGAACCCCCATGGTACCCTTCATATCTCTTGAGAGTATGTTCCCTCTCACTCCCAGATCTCTCAAGTTGCATCAGATATCAGACATTCCGAAAAAGTCATTATCCAAACTCTTGACGGCGCCTCTTCATCTTCTTATTCCTCCTACTCTTGGTTACAGCTCAGTCAAGACACCACCATCTTTCTCAACCACACCCTCAACACTGCCAATTGTTTCTTATGCGCATCACTACAACGCCCACTGCTGGCTGCCATGCCCCTTAATATTTCCAACTACTCCTTCCATGCAGAAGGACAACCCCTCCGCCCGCTGGCAGACATAACCCTATGGGAACCAGAATACGCAGATAATCTCACCATCCACCACTGTGTAGGCCCAACTCCATCCCCCTCCAGCGCACTTCACTGCCTCTCTATCTACACCCCTACCTCCGGCTCTAAGACTTTTATGCAACTGGGACACTTTTTTTGGTGTAATGGCAGTCTTTTCAACTCACTGCCTCCCAACTCCGATACACCCTGTATTCTCGTCACCCTAATCCCACAGCTTACACTTTACAGCATGGCAGAATTTCTTGAGCTCCAACTTCCCTTGCCCTCGCGCACAAAAAGGGCTGCTTTCCTTCCCATCATGGTCGGTATCTCTTTGACCACCTCAGCCATTGGGGCAGGGTTTTTGGGAAGAGCCTTGGGTCACTCTCTGTGGGCAGTTAGAGATCTCAATGCCAAACTTGAGGGAGCCCTGACATCCACTGCCGATTCCCTAGCCTCTCTCCAAAGACAGGTCACTTGGCTAGCTAAAGTCACCCTTCAAAACCGGCGGGCCCTAGATCTGCTTACAGCCAAGAAGGGCGGCACCTGTGTCTTCCTCTGGGAAGAGTGCCACTATTACATCAACGAATCTGGCATTGTAGAAACTGACATTACCAAACTCACCAACCTGGCCTCCAGCCTCTACTCTGCTTCCAATTCCAACCCATTCTCTTCAATACTAACAAACCCCCTCCTTACCTGGCTCTGGCCCATTGCAGGCCCCATAATAATCATTCTTCTCGCCTGTCTCTTCTTACCCTGTATAATAAAGTTTATCAAATCCCAAGTCGGAAAAATCTCTAATCAAGCTTTCAACCAGCTTTTACTCAGGAACTACCAGCTTCTGGCCACAGAAGACCCCTCACCCTCATGTGACCTCCTCACCACATGCTGAGATGGACCCCTCTCTCCGCTGGAAACTGTTCCTGGAAACAATGGCCGCAGATGCCTGGCTCCTGACAGCCATATCCTCTTGGCACCATTGGAATCAACAAGTCCTCGACCTATGGTTACAGGGAACCTTCATTGATTTCCAACCTGAAGAAGTCCACATTTGCTCGTCCTTACTGCGGGGAGTCCTATCAACCCTTTTCCTCCCAATCCTCAAGCCCTCACTCCCTTCTCTGCCCCCATTCAGCAGGAAGCAGTTAGAGAGAAAGCAACATCCACAACCCCATAGAGGAGAAAGGGGGGAATGAAGGGCCCCCACCAGTAAGATGGCAAACTTCCGGCTTCTCTTCGGGGTCCTTGGTTCCCGACAGCACCACCTGAAGCCCAATCACCTCTCGCCCCCTTCCCAGTCCCAGCACCTAGCCAATAGCCACCAGCCCCGTAGAAGTAACACCACAATCACCCCATGCCCCCTCCTATATAACCCAGCACCTTTCTCTAATAAAGCGGATTTCTCCGGTGAATTGCTGCTGTGTGTCGCTCCTTTCCTTTCACAAAGTAGTTAGCCATTCTCTATTAAATGTTAGCACCTGTTGTGCAGTAATGTTCATTTCATATAATTGAGAGACTTATTGAAGGAAGGGGATTATTATATTTAACAAATCTGGGTTCATTCTTAGAAGTTTTGTATACTTTTATCAAATGTTACTTATTGCTCAGTAACTTTGTGCTATAATAGAGAAACAATGAAGATTTTAAAAAATTTGGAGGAAATGTTTCAATTCTAATTGGAAATAGCTAAATTACAAGGGCTTGAATAAGGAACTTGAAAAAAATTTTTTCGTCTCTGCTAAGTGTAATATTACAATTAAAAATTACATATATAAATAATACTTATTAGGAATATTGTTTTTAACAATCACTGGTTAATTTGTTGACAATACTGTTGGGTGTTAATTTAGCAAGTCGTTAAACTCAAGAAAGAGTTCACTTTATCTCTGCTTTAAAAATAAAAAAAATATTTTTTTCTAAAATAAAAAAAATATATTCAACAGTAAAAAAACATTACAAAAAAATCACTTCTATCTGGTGCTGAGGGTTTTTTAAAAAACCATAATGTATTTATAACCAAAACTATCTATATACCTACACTAAAAAAAAAAAGACCTACAGTAATGCATTCAAACACACAAAATATTGGAAAATATTGTATATAGAATATATAAAGTGTAATTTTGCTTATTATATAAAAGTACTCCCAAATATCAGTTTCCTCTGTTATAAAAATCTAATCATTCATATTTGTGACTGGTCAATGTTACTATACTAGCAAGGCTTTTTTTTTTCTTCAAATAATTAATAGAAGGTTTTTTTCCTCCTCTAACAATTCACATAAATTTGCATGTCTCAAGAAACAGATATTTATGGGTCTTGTTGCTAGGTGCTTTCATAAACTGGGAAGCATGAATTAAATATATCTTGGATGTTCTCAAAGATTAACATTTACTTAAGAGGGAAAACTTTTTTAAATATGTAATGATCAATGATGCTTAAAATACCTTATGTTGTTTCCTCTGAAAAAGTCTTCTTTCAGTAGGATTTGCAGTACCTTGAAATATATATATGTTTGGAACCAAATAAAACATTACCATAGCCTTTCTATTAATTTATAGCCTAATAATCTCTAATTCTGTATCACAACAAATAACCACCAAAGTATATCCTTCCACAGTTTTTTTCAATCTACAAGGTGAATTTTTTGTTAGCATAATTTGATTTATAAGAAACAGTTAACTATTCAATGTCTCCAGTTTTGACATCACCAGACACAGGCTAATTCCAGTAATGCCATCACTGGCCTTTCTAACTCAATCCACATTTGTTATAAAAACAATTATCATTCTGAATTTTCCAAGCTCCACCTCAGCAGGAGGTGCGACTAGTGTGGAAACTGCATGATAAATGCCTGAGGGAAAGAGTGCCTCTTGTCATTCAAAGATGACCCCTTCCTACCACTTAAGAAGCAAGTGACAGGCTCTCATCAAGTTCATCACTTAACTGGAAAGGTGTGTAAAGGAAAATAGATTGAACATTCCACCAATTTCCATGTAATTTAACTTTCTGTAACAATATAAATAAAAATGACAAACATTTCCCGGTATTCACGTAAAGTATCCTAGCACTAATTCATTTGTGTTTACCTGGAAATGAGTACTAGTTCAATAAGACTGCAAAAGTACATTCCAGTCACTCAAAAATAAAATTGCTAAAATCATACTGATCAAAGTGTTAAACTACCAGAAACTTCCGTATAATATTTACATTTAAAAACAAAAACAGAACACCCATTACTACAGAGTTGAAACTGTCTATGTTAAGCAAACTATCTAGTGGCTATTTAAGAAATGATGAATTCAAAACACTAATTTAGCATTTGATTTATATGAGGATAAATGTTTTTCTGGTCATCATAGATTTAGTGAAATGACAGAAAACATGTACACCTGAACCACTTCATTCTGCATAGGGAAATTAAGAACAAGCTAGAAAACTCTTAACTTCACACAGACCCATCCTAGGGAGCTGCCAGTAAGGATACTAAAATCTTTTTTATTCCAAATATTTGTGGGGATTATGCATTTAGAAAGCGAAATCTTAACAGCTTAGAAATTTTCTTCCAGGCTTTATTTACATAGTAATAAGGGCATTTAGTGTTTGTTTTTTAAACAATTCCATTCAACTATGATATGAAATCTGGTGACAGTACCATGAATAGCATTACTCAGCCTTGTCTTCAGCTGCTGGAACTCTGAGACATCTACAACCAAAAGCTAGGACTCAGAAAAGACTATGAATTTTATTTATTAAAACTTCTAATTCCCCTACCTCTAAAACAGATTTAAGGCAATTATTATGTTTTCTAAAATAAAAGTATAAGAAATAATAAATAATGAATAATGAAATACAAGAATTAAAGTTTCTCACTGAAGATTTAAATTCATATATTTATTGGTATTATTAAGTAGGACACAGAATAAAGTAACCTGTGTTTGCCAAGCTATACTTTTGAAGAAGAGCAATAGTAAAATGAAACACCTTCTTAAAGGCAGAGATCTCATGGTATTTGACTTTTTAAGACTTTATGTTATCATGACTTGCAGAGGTTGCCGGATAAAACAATTATGAAATTTTAATATTAAATGCAACTAAATAAATTTTGAAAGCTACTTCTCCCTAGCAGTACAAAACTCTAGCTCACCAAGTTGATTATTTCATTAACTTACAATTATTACCAAGTTAAGCACTTACTATCTTGCTTTTTACCTAAATGATTCACTATAACTAAAAAGAAGAGGTAAGAATTGGAAAGAAAGTAACATTTACAAAGTACCGTACAAGGCAATAGGCTAATTGAATTCTATCACAACAAAGATGGTACCTGGTATTATTTCTATTTGGCAGGTAAGAAAACCAAAGTTCAGAACAGAACTTTCCTTGTAATTTAGTTAAAAGGATATAGACAAGGAGTTGAAACTGTCTATGTCAAAGTCTATGTCTTTAAATTTACATTAGTTTGCCAAGTAAACATTATTCCAGATAACTTCACAAGTGAAATAAGTGGCTACTCTTTGGAATAAAAATGTTCTTACTCATTATCTGGGAAGCACTTTACTCTCTCTGAATATTTTAATTTTCATTAAATACTCTCTACTACTTCATGTTTTCTCTGATACATTGGCAGATCAAGTATTAACGGGGATGTATGATGTCACATTTGAAGACTATCTAGAAACTAGTATTTCCTGCACTATGTGCAAAAAACTACTGATTTAAAAATAAAGCTCATTCTAAGCTGATATACTAATGTAGCAGTTTCCAGTTTAGATTATAAACCGAATAATAAAACTCAGCATTTGTATCTTGTTAAAAGATCTATTTCCAAGATAAAACTGAAGTGTGCTCCTTTAGCATATTAATTGCCGTTAGATCATCACTTTAGTTACATAAAAGCTAAATGGAAGTTTTAGTATTTCTTTTCTATTCCCACTAGTGAAGCAACTCCAATTTCAAAAGTGGTTATTATCCACACCCTTTCTTTCGGTTTTACTATAAATTGCTATTAGGAAAAAGCTGCAAATTGAAATATTACTACTCTGTATATTCACATTGTACATTAAAATTTTACATAATCTCATATCTATTACTTAGTTGCCATTTAGAATCTTAATATTTAATAAAACTTACTATGCAGAATGTTTTCACTTACAGAATAGGGATTAAATGGAGTAGAAATATACTTTGTACATGACCTGCTAAAATAAAACAGATTAAGGAATCAAATTGCCAAACTTTGGACATCCATTACATTAAAAAACCCAGAGAATATTATTAATGTAAATTTTAGAAATGTTTATTTTAGGAACACATGGAATTAAAATGAGTATGTGAGTCTAAGAGCCTACAGAGAAGAAATAGGGAGTGTTTGTGTGTTTGTGTGCATGAATACCCTTGCCATCATTCTAAGACCTAGCATACCTAGAATAGAGGACATTACATTTGATTTGAAAAAATATTTAAATTAAGAACAATTTACATGTACAATATAAATAGATAAATAATACCACTTTCAGTCACTTTCAGAAGAAAAAAGTAATAATAAGGATTAATGAAAGCAGTGTACACCAAACAAAACTGTTTTTTACTTTGAGTCAAATTCTACACACTGGAAAAATGCATGTCTATATCATTCTGCAGAAGTTCTTTAAGTGCTTTTAAAATTTAGCAAGGCTGCAAATTCTGTCAAAAAATAAATCAAATTACTATTTGTTAATAAGCTATGAAGTCCATAATAAATGACAACTCAAGCTGAGCAAGGTTAAAAAGCCGTCTTATATTTTTGGCATTATCATGAAAACTCTGTGACTGAACGACACATCATTTCCAACGACACCAATAAGGCCTCGGTGTGTACTCCAGGACACACTTTTAAATTCTCAGATAGTTCCGTAAGAATATTTGGGAGCTTCTGCAATGTCTTTATATTTCTAGCATAAAGATCCAGTAACCAGTCAGTATGAGCATTGGTGGTTTCCTTATAATTCTTACAGGCTATCAGTAGCTCATTTAGGTGAGTTAACCCATTGAAAGCTAAGAGGAACTCTGAAGATAAATCAAAAATTGAACAAAAATTTAGCAGCATTCTACTAATTAAAAATGAGCCAAATTCAAGTTGCTGGTGGCAAAAATGTTTCTCTGCTTGTGCATGAAAGTTCTCCACTTTATCTTCTATTTTTTTAATAGCAAATAATTCTTCCCTGATTTGAGATGATGCCACATAATCCAAGGGCAATTCTCCCTTAGAGTTCTTCTGCTCTAAAAGCACTGGGCCTGTGAAGAAGAAAATCCAAATCGTTAAAAGCAAAACATTTTTATTTTGCCAGCTTAACAGCTGTTTTACCTCTTTTTCCAAAGCACCCAGGGCTTTGTCCACAGTCATCTTTTGTACTAATTAATATTGACATAGTTAACTGGCTATACATAACTGACTGCCTAATAAAGGTGCTTTAAAAAAACCAACAAAGTTCTAATCAATTGCCTAATGAGGTTTGCCTAAAAAGTGCATGCCTTCATTCAGTAAATAACATAAATGAAACAAACTTTCATAAAACTTTTTTTTTCATATATATGTTTTTTTGGTATCATTAATATACAATCACATGAGCAACATTGTGGTTACTAGATTCCCCCCATTATCAAGTCCCCACTACATACTCATACTTTCATAAAACTTTATACATTATCTTCTTGAAATAAGAATTTCAGTGTTCCCTAAAGAAATTTAAAAAAATATATTCACCTTAAATTGTGTATTAGAGTCTTAAGAGTATCTCATAATTATATTGCCAAGAGGAAAAAGTATTGCCTCCTTCCATTGCTGATGGGCGACTGTTGGAGTGTAGACTGCAAATCCTTGCATAGGCACAGAACACATTTCGCTTACCCTTATTTATGTTCAATTTTTCATACAGGTAACTGATTGATTTAATTTGCTAAAAATTAAGTGTTAACTGTTCTAGGTCAGATTCAGATTTCATTATCTGTCCTAGCTAACCATCTATCTACTTAGAGGGTACTTAAGATAGAGTTTATTTCCTAGGTAGTAAAGGATGATGTGGGAGGGGCAAAACAAGGACTCTGTATTGGGCTGCAAAGCAAAGTACAGGAGTACTTTGAACCTCTGTCAGTCAAGTCCTATAATTATTTATGCACTTTGCCATAAAAATGTTATAAGGGATATAAAGGTTTTAGTACTAGCCGACATAATCAGACCAGCCTACAACAGAACATAGATCATATTGTCAGAGAGAACATATCATAGATAATATAGATTACAGCTGATAAAATTCTCACGATGAATCTGATCACACACATAAGTATTAGCCTAGATATAAACTGTATTGAATATAACAGATCATTGATAATATCATTAACATATAATTCACAGAAAAAAAGATAATTCTAAATCAGAATTAAGTTTCTTTTCACTATGTTGGTATTTCAAGAAAAATGTTCCATGTGACTCCTCTTAAAAAAAAACACACACAACAAAATTATGGACATAACACACCAAAAGTAAACAAAGGTTTTAAAGATGTAAGTTCTTTAAATTATTGCTTTCTGCTAAGTGACTCACAATGAAGAGATAATGTAGTTACTTCAATGATTATGTCAAACTATTTGACAAGTCCAAACTCATCATATTACTAAGGCAAAGATAAGTCTGTATGATTGCCAAAGGACCTTGACACATGCAAGTACAACTAGATTTCCTATCTTAGGACAAGGAACTAATCCAGTTATTATTCCTGACCAAGGCCCTAGAAAAATTCACACAGTTTAATATTATGCCATACTTTCCTGAAGAGTTGGACTTACTACAGTAATGGCTCTTACATCAATTAGAGTATTTGAAGAATAGGCCAAATACTGGCATGGAATGTCATACACGTAGTTGAATAGAAAAATAAAACAGGAGACAGAACATTATGGTTCAGTAAATATATAATACTAACAAAAGTAGAAGTGAAAAATGTATTGATTATGAAACAGTGTCAGTAAAACAGACACACTAACGCCTTTAGGGGGCAGGAGATGACTATAAATAACCAAATGCCTTAAGCTACCATGCTATCCAACCTTTCTTAGACAGAGAGTAAAAATACATTTATAGAAAATATGCTTTTTATTTTCATGAGAATCAAATAGCTTTAATTATTGGAAAAATATTTTAAATTTGAAGTTAAATTTAGTACAAATAAAAGTAACAGGAAATTTATATAAATCTTTATTTCTGCATTATAAACTAGTCATCAGGTTTTTTTTGAAAAAATCAGTTTTGAACATTTTGATATAAAATTTATATTATACAGTTCAGATATAAGGAGAATATCACTGAAGGGTAGGAGTGCTTTCTGAAAGCAGAGATATATCAGTAGAAAAAGCAGTAGATAAATATTAAGCTCAAGTTATCACCATTTGAAAATCCTCCTATTTTAACTTAATTGACTGCAAAATGTGAATGAAGAAAAGATATTCTAGGATATCTTTTTTTACATCTGTAAAGAAATGACTCATTAAAAAAAGACTGATTGAGTTAGCAGTTACACACAGGAAATGAAGCAAGAATAAAAAATCCAAGTATTCACAATTGAGCATTTACATCCATTTATTAATAAGCTTTCACAAATGGCTGTTCACAAAGACATTATACATTTTCAGTAAACAGATTAATATTTACTAGCACACTCAATTCAAAATACACTCTCATACACAAACCTAAATATACTTAATAATAAATCAATAAATATATATTAGGAAAAGGTTTTTTTATTCCTACTAAATAAAAGGTACTTACATTCTAGGAGACTTTTATCCTTATTTTTTCATTAATATGAAATTAAGGTATCTTTCCTTATAAATCTTAAAAACAAAATGCTATCTACCTCAGGGATTCATAAAAAAATTGGATAATTTATCAAAACCCATTTAGCATAAATGTACTCACCCCCATGCTGGACTAGCAGCTTGCCAATTTCTACATGTCCATTTGACAGTGCATCATGCAAAGGAGTCACCCCATCCACTTGAGTGAGCAGATCTACCTCTGGACAACGTTGCAAAATTTCCTGGACACACACTGTGTTGCCATAGTTACAGGCTTCATGCAAAGGCGTCCAGCCAGCATTGTCTAAATCAGAAATCAAGGCAAGTTTTAAAATCGCAAAAGTAGGACTTTTGGTAGTGAAATATTCATATTCTACTTTCCTTGTCAGTGTGACTTTTAGGTGCCACATACACAAATAGAATGCTTTTTGATAAACATGCCTATAAGCGTAATCACATTTCTAATTTTAAGAAGAAAAATAAAATAAATTAAAAGAACTTAAAATAGTGATATTGGGATCAGATCATAATATGGACACATATGTGTCTACCCTACTAGTTATAAATCAGTGTATGATGAATTTCTTGGTTTTGCTACTGGCAATATTTTAAAGATATGTTAGATAAATATACTTAAATGATTTTTCTTAATGGTGACATAAAACTATTTAATACTACAAATATTACAACATTGGATTAGACCACAAAGATTTAGAACTTACCTTTAACATTGATGTCTATTCCTGGCAAAGAGAGAAGAAGAATCAATTTCTCCACTTGGTTATTTATGCAAGCTCTATGGAGGGCTGTTTCTCCTGCCATAAAAAATTAATAGATTATTCCAGAGAAGACAAGATATGAACTAAAGAAAATAATCAAAGGGCATGAACTAGGAGATCTGGCCCTATGCCAGAAAATTATTTATTGAGTTTCCCTTTTGACTGGCTTAAACATCTCTAGCATTAAAAAAGAGAGTGGGGGAGGGAACCCCACCAATCCATAGAGCTTCTGTTCTATCAGCAATTCAGCAATGAAATTCTACTGCAAAAGGTTTAACACAGGCATTGTCTCCTCCTAGTTCAAGGTTTAAAGCTTCAGTCCCACTATAAAACCCCTAAATGATCAGAGAACACCAAAAATACTGGGTTTTGCAGCAATAAAAGTTTAGAGTGCAATTGCCCTCTCTTAAATTTATTCATGAACCTACATTAAATGTATGGCGCTTTTTTATACAGCATTTATAGCTTAATTCAAATGAATGTTTCTGGCTAAGCACGAGTGCCTCTACACACTCAAGTATAATTCAGAACTTCAAATCCATTAACAGATGGTTTGCTGCTTCTCAATAGGCTGTCTGGCTTGGCTACAGCAGCACAGAGAAGAAGAAATGGGAGAATCTTAATATAAACACACACACACACACACACACACACACACACAACACACTCACTCTCTAGTACCATTTAAAGCTGAACAAGAGTGACAAACAGAATGGCAAAATGTTTTGTAGGAGGGATGCAATTAGTGTGCTGGCTAAGATTGTCTATATCCATCTCTGTTGTAACCAAGACTAATAAGATCTAAGTGACAATCTGATGTAAGGGGATTTTTAAAAAACTTAACAATAAGCAATTGCTTAGAAAACAAATGAAATATTGAATCAAACTCTTTCTTGCTATAAAATATTAAGTAGCACATTTTTACTGTTCAGTTTTACAAGTTCTCTGTGTAACTTCTAACGAAACATTTATTTTACATGCACTGAAAAGCTTTTGAAGTTTTTCTCTACTCTTTCTCAATTCTCTTCCTCCCTCCCAGTTTCTTCTGCCATTCAGCCTAGTCATTTCATATTCATTTTACTTTCTGAAACTATAAACAAAGAAAAAGGACACTGTTTTGTGAAATCAATATCTGACTTCTCGTTTAATACACTTTTCACATTTTAAACCAAATAGGCAGTTGTTCTGAATTTTTGGTATGTAATTATGAACTTTTATCCTATTCAAACATTGTGAGAGCTTCAACATTACTGTTTCCACTGGTGTCAGTGATAATATTTGTATTAAAAACATGTTATAGCTCATAAACAAGAGACTCAGCAATTTACTTAGGCCAGTTATAGACTCTTGGAAGGTAACATATTTGTGGGTTAAGAGGTACTTAAATAAAAGAGGTACTGGAGTAAATTACTACAACACTATTCTTGCTAACTGCATCCTTTAGGTACTTAGGTTCCAGTATGGTTAAAACCAAAAGCCAAACTCATTTCATAGTCTGGGCTCAATGCCTGGAAGAAAAGAGTCCATATGCTTAACACAGCTATGTAACATAGCCTACTCCTCACTCTTTGTTCACAAAATGTCTAGGACTGAAAGAGATGAAGACTGAATTATACTTTCAAATCAAAAGACTTTGATCCTAAGCAGCACAGGTTGAGGTGGAACAGAAAAGTAAGGCGGGCAAGTCTGGAATAACACACACACACTGTCAAATATTGAGAGAGGAAGAATAGGAGAAAAGAAGAGGAGGAATACTCTATTACACTGGGTGTTAAACAATCACTTGCTTTGCATAAATAACAGTTCAAAATAAAAGGGCTATGTAGGAAGGTATTTCTGGACCTAGCCTAATATTTAAGTTCAAGTATTCATCAGGGCCAGTGTGTAAAACTTGCAATTACTGACTGACAACCACGAAAAGATCCCAGTAAAAATTAATTGATACTTGGAATACCTTTTAGATTAGTCTTGTGAAAATTCATCTTTGTAACCAAAGAGGGATAATTCTCCTTGGAACATGGCAATTCTCCTTCCGACTTCTTTTTCAATCTTTTTAATGATGAACATTTAGCAAGGTTCAGATTTCTGAAAAGAAAGTAAGACATAATGAAAGCTTGTTTTTCACCAAGAAATGGCAGCATACATTAGATGGTATTTTTTAAAAGCTAGCCTTCTGTTAATATAAACTCCCTTATTCTTTCAAATTTTACTGCTTTTTATATTTATTTCAACTGTACAGAAGCAAATTTTAAAGCATTAATTCTCATTTTATTAACCTTATACTCCAACCACCCACTGAAAAGTTTATGAATGCAGAATGTCAGGTACAGGAAGAGACCAGGCAAACTATAGTTGGCAGAGAGAACAAAGCAAAACATTAAGATTGAGATGGAGGCCTCTGATCCCCATTCATATTTTCATATTCTGATCCTATTCTCTTCTTCCTAAAAACAGTTCAGGATTTCTGAGTTTTATATAGCATCCTTTCAGAGGAGGTTTCTCATTTGGGCAAAGCTATTATAACAATTCAGTTTGTCACGTGACCATGCATTCTAAAATCACATCTTTATTAGAGACAAGTTGTAATTTAAATTACAGGCAAAAATTGTGTGAACAACTAATGAACAGTTTTATCTCTTTTGAAAAGCACTTAATCTTAATAGAAAGCAAGCATGTAGCACTTGAATTAAAGAAAGCAAAAATATGGATCGTGTGTATTTATAGGTGTAAAACTGACTTTTCTGCTAATCAGAATAATTCAGACATCCCTACAGATAACAGTAAAGTTCAAGAAATGTGTCAGAAAGAGAAGTGTCCTCTAAAACAAAGTGTAGTGGTACTTAAGCATCACTTACAGTAACTCTGACAGCCCTTCAACTTGTTTCTGTTTAGCACCATTCAGCATTAGTAAGGCCCTCTGAGACTCAAGGCAAGGCCTCTGTCCTATTTTCTTTGGAGTCTGCATCTTTCCAATCTGATATACACCAGTTTTTCCCAAAGCTGGCAAATAGGAATATACCTGTTGCAAGATAATATTATATTGCTTTCTCAACTACAAAGACTAAAAAGAAACTACTAGATTCATTTCATCATTAAATTTGGTTATATTCTCTTGGTCCCATCACTATGATTGCCACCCTATCTCATTTGAACATGTCAGACTATTAAGAAAGCTGTTAGTTCCATGTCATTAAGTCACTATGACATACACAGCAAGAAAAATACCTTCTTGAAAATAATTACTTTTTTCAAATTCAATTTTAGTGCTCATTTAGTGAGTTCTTTGATTAGTCTTATGCCCAGCTTGTTATAATTCATTTGCATATATTTAATACTTATGTGTATATGACTGGTATTTTGCCACTTCCAATTTAGTAATTCCTTCCTTCAACAGAAAACCAATTTGGAATAAGGAGTGCAAAAGCTGCTAAAGACAAGAATTGCTACCGAAATAGTATTTGTTCAGTCTGACCCATTAACAGGTGTATTTCTTATCTGTTGAGGAAACTGTTTGAAATAATTGAAAATAATAGCTGAAGATAGCCAAGATGAAACTGGACAGCTTCGGGTTAAATGCAGCTTTTATTTGTGTGTATACATAGGAAAACACAGACTAACCCTTGGCATCATTTGCAAATTTTGCTTTTTAAATACCATTAAATACCATGTAGAACTTTTTCTTGATCTATGTCTTTCCATAGTAATAATCTTATGTACTGTGGCAAGTGATTAGGAAACAAAGATTCCTGTATTATTTTTGTTGTCAATTCTTAATTACTCTCAAATAATAAAAATTTCTATTCACTATTCCATTTTTGAGGTAGGAAAAATCCTTTTATATAAAGATTTATAATTAATATGTTTGGCCCAATTATAAGAAATAATGAAAAATACTTAAAAATTGAATTTATAAACTTCTTGCAAATTAAAAAAAACAAGAGTAGAGTGGTGCTCACCATTTTCTGAAGAGAGAGTGGCTCAGAAGAAATACTGATGGAACTCTGTAAACACAACTTTTTAAAGACTGCCTCTGCAACAAACATTTGCAGCCAGGAGGAGGAAAAGGAACAAATGAAAATCTCTAATTCATGTGAAGAGAAGTCTGTAGAAAACAAGAGAAGTAAATATAGTTGTTGCTACACCCTATAAAATTTCTTTCTACAGACTATTTTCTCTGTGAATTTTATTCAAATGATTCTCATACTAGTTAAGATTCACCCTCATAATTTTAAGCCACAAAATAGATGAACATTCTTATTCTTTGCCTTCAAAATTTTTACATTTGAAATAATCATTTTTATTATTTTAAATAGAAGTCCTGAAATTATACATATGCACACACGAATAGACAAATAACATATGGATAGGCAATGGGATTTTATTTTTTCCAGTTAATGTTAAAGATCTTGTCCCACAACAGAGTTGTCCCTTTGGAAAACCAGTACTTAGATTTTAAATGGGCACACATGTACTTAATTTTCAGTGAGAAAATTAGGTGCCTTCTTCTAACAACACCCATGAATCCTATCACTGTAGAGGAGGAAAGGTAAGAAGAGAGAGATATAAGACAAGAGAATGTATAAGAATTTGCTTAAATGTTTGTATCCGTTCTCCTACACCAAGTGGAGGAAGGGGCTAAATGACAAAACAAACAACAAAAAGTACCAAGAGCCTAAAATCTCTACTTTCCAAAAACCTCAGTTTCTCCACTAACATGGAAATGCATAAATATACACATGTATAGAAAGTGATAAAGGACTTTGGTGACTATTTCCCATGTAATCTATTCAATGTTATGAATTTTCCATGAATGCTCTCTTGTGTAACAGAATGAAAAATAAGAATGATTAAGTGAAATGATAAAGAAGAAATAAGACCAATTAAAATTAGTAAAATAAGACCATTTAACTAAACTAAAATTAAGCAAAAATAAACAGGATAAAAAGTTGTGATATACAATAAGGCAGATTAACTACTGGAGGGGAGGAAAAACTTTCCCTCTACCCTTCTAGGTTCTTTTGGCTGGTCTATTAGTTAAATTGCCATAAAACAGACTAGCAGGAGGAAAGCAAATTTAATTCTGTAATTATGGGGAGCTGTACATAGACATGAAAGCTTCCAAGACAGTCAAGCAATTGAGGATACATGCCATCCTGAGCTAAGGAAAAGTGGATAGGTAGGAGGGAGTCTCAGGCTTCAAAGGGAAGGAAGATGATTTATAGGAAGATAAAAGTATTTGGTAAATAAATGTCTTGTTGTGCAGAAACAATGGGACACAGAGGAATGTGAACATATAGGCTCTGCAGAGTTCTACCTAGCTTACCACATTAAACCCATAATCTCTGTAGCTATCTCTGATATAGCTTTCTTCCTGGAGCAGGTTCTCCATCTAAATTCTCTTAAGGTAGTTAAGGGGTAAGTAAAAATGCTTTTTCCTGAGTCTTTTCCTTGATTGTTTTCAACTCAAAATAATCTGCATGCCAAGTGGCACATTTTTAGGTGACATATTCTGGTCTACTTCAATCCTGCCTTTGAATCTTCCCCAGGAACTTTTGTTAGAGTAAGCAGACATAAACAGGAGAAATGGGCCAGCCCATCACCAAGGAAGATTCTACTTTGACCAACTCCTAAACCCTCTTTAGTTCCCAGTTTCACAATCAAGGATGCCTAGTTTATCAGGAGGCAGAGAGAGTCAAGAACACCTAGACTGTCAAGAGGCCCAGGACCACAGGGGCTTCCCTGATTACAGGGCATGTGCAAGGTACGATGATTGTCTGAAAGTAGCCTACCTCATTATAATAATCTAAATCTTATTACAATTGTGGTTTGGCCCCGCTGTGAGCTTTGCTTAGGTACTTATGGGTAAGGTGCCTGCACGCCGAGAAAAAAGGTTATATAACCTAGAGCTGCCAACCAACTTATTAATCAAATGACCTAAGATTCAGGCTGGGACTTCCTGCCATCTTAAGAAAAAATAAAAGCCAACCTAACACTAATGGCAGGGCTGCTTCTGGTTTTCTGTTTCAAGAGTGTACTTTTTCCCTTTAACCCAACAAATTCCATGCTGTTTTTTCTTGCTACCTGGTCTCTAGATTGAATTCTTTCCTTTGAGAAGACACAAATCAGGGAAATACAATGCATTCTACCTGGTAACACTTTTACATTTCAGTAAATGAGTTGGTAGATTTTTCCATCTTACTGAAACAGTCTGTTAGTCCTGAGAACAGGTCAATTCAACTAAAAGGGTTGTGTCTCATATTTCAGGAGGTGGTGATGCACTGGGCTCTCAAAGTTAGGCCTAAATAGTACAAGTAATCAGGTATTTAATGAGAGGTAATTCTATTGAAACAAAAGAAAAATGAAGGTTAATGGTAGGGCAAAATATAATCCAAGTTTCTGAGGTCTAGAAGAAGACAACTGATATTTCTAGATGTCTGGCTTAAAGTTTCTTCAGGTGAGGGCAGGCAGCAGCTTCCTAATTTGAAGCTTGAACGTCTCTGGTGTGCTTTCTGAGTGGCCACATATCAATAAATACGTTTGCCATGCATGAGCTGTTGTGATTTCTCTAAAGTTTATACCAAGTTGTCCAGCTTTAGTTTGCATTGCTTTCGGGAAAGGCCAGTTCAAATTCTCAGTGATTCCAAGTCAGAAATGTGGGAAAAAATTAGAAATGTTAGTTTGCAGAGTGGGGGTCTAATATTGGAGGAAACTAGAATAAGCAGGATATAGCCCAGTTTATAGGTAGAAAACAAAACCTTAAAGACAGCTCTAGAATCTGGTATCTATGAAGGTGTGTTATAATTGTATAACATAATTTTTCTCTGCAGTCAACCCCATTTTATCAAAGATGACCAGAGTAAAACTAATTTGCTTACAAATTAAGTCTAGTTTCAATAAACTTGGCCTGATTGTTTATATAAACAAGGACAAGAATAGTAGTGATGGTCATATAGACTCTTTTAAATCTTCTTTGCTGGAACTTTTCATAAAGAGTCTCATATTGAACTTTTAAAAGCCTCTCAAGGCAAAGAAGCCAAGCCAAGGTCTCACGAATAAACTTTGCTAGTAATACATAAGATCTGGATGAATTCTACTTTTCTCAAGATTTCCAAACTATTGCGCAGTTTCTGAGTCTGTCAGAAAGTGACCTTCTTTACTCACCTGGTAAGGTTGCCAGAAACCCTGAAAGTAAAGTACCAGGCTGTTTTTCCAAGGGGTTTTACTGTCCATGAAGTCAACCCTACAGTCTAAAGCTGTCCAGTCATATCTAATTCTAAGCACAGTCTCAAATGTGACATTCCAGGCAAAGCCTTGCAATACAAACAATGTTTTCAATTGTGTCCTGTTACAAGGATAACAGATTCTCACTGAACTTATGAAAATAACTCTACTGCCATGAAAATAAGAATACTGAGTTTCCAAATTCTGGAGGGATCAGATAGGGGGAAAAAAGCAAATGTTTCATCTTTGTTTATTAACGTATACTTTATCAATTCGTTGTAAAAAGTTTCCTTAAATCTGGAAAAACAAAACATTAAAGAACCAGCAATGTTTCAAACAAAGAGTGGAAAAACTATTATCATCCTGATCAATTCATTTAGTATGAAATAAATTCTTGTTGATCTTGATCTTTTGTTAGCAGTTTTATGAGGCCATCAATTTCTCCATTAGAATTCTGCAAATTCTTAGCAAGATCACTGGTATGGTCTTAATATTTTTGGAAACCTATATTCTATGGTAATTGTCAGAGTCCTTTCCATGAATCTCTCTGAAGATAAAACATATTTGTAAAGGCATTAGAGTAAAATAGTGATTCCCTATAAATTTAAAGACTTCACAATGGCCATTGTTAAGGGTCTGTTGAGAGTTCATTAAAATGCAATTAGCAAGAAAATTTGGCTATTTCTGTGGCATACAATATATTAAGATAATAACAAGAATTACAAGTTATACATTATACCAGGACATATCAGATTTGTGGAAAATTTTTATCATTTCTAGTTTATAAAAATTATATAATTTCATAATATACACCTTTACAAAAAGAAGAGGCCCTCTGGAAAACCCCAAACTTAGTTTGCGGTAAAAAAAAAAAACTTTATTTAGGATTTGGATTTGGTAAATCTGCCAAGTATATCAGAAGGTTTTAGAAAATAGAATCATACATCACTGTGAAGCAATTTAACCAAAATGACAATTAACAACACTGTAGTCTAAACAGAAGGTTAAGTAGTTAAAAAAACTTTGTGCTTTTAATAAAGAAGATTCAGTTTTCCTCAGTAATCAAGACATGATGAAGACAACGCAGTAAAATTTTTAGGTGAAAAAGAATCTTTGTCTTCTAGGAAGATTACTTAAAGGTAGAAAAAAACCATAGTCCAAGAAAAATTTATCCTTTGAGCAAATGAAAGAAAATTAAGTTCAGTTTTACTTAAGCATAAGAACATTAATTAAAATTAAAGCTTATTAAAAAAATCCTTTATAGTAACTTAATTTTAGCCAATTGGACCACATAAGGTAAAATTCCCACTCTTCCTTTCTTCCACCCTCTCATTCTTAACCAGGACAAAATAACTTTTTTCCTCCTTAACAAAAACACATCTCCATACCTCTACCTGTCTCAGCCAAAAAACACAACTTACTTTCCTTGTATACAGAGTTGTTTCCCCTATTATTTTCAGTAGTCTTATTAATTATAGACATTAGACTTATTAATCCTTAGAAATGTTAATTTCTAGTGAAGACTAGGAAGTAAACAATTGTGAACTACCTGTTACTAGCAAATTTATGAATTTGTTATAATTTCTATAAGTATATTCTTCCACATGGTTAATTTCTAATGCAATATAAAACCTGTTTACAAATAGACCCAGATATCTTTAGTACCTCTGTAAAAGGAAACCACAATTGGTTAATCTATGTTATTAATGTTTCCGTATTTTATCTTAGGTGGAAATGACCCTGATATTCAATGAATTTCCATCATTTTACTTAGAAACACTAACAGTGTTTTACCAAAGAGATTTGGGAAACTAAGTACACATACCATAAAACATGATTATTATAGAAAAAAGTTCACCTAAAAACTCTTAACTCACTTAC